AAAAGAAGCGATGTTGAGCGAGCGTGACTGCACGATGGAAGACCGTTGAGAATCGATGTTCTAGATGCTGAAATCATTTCGAGTAAATGAAACATGTATTTTTTAATCCATCTTAAGTCAGTCTTTAAGGTGAAGGTAACCCCTCCGAAAATAATAATTACGTTTTGATTTTTCTAAAAAAAATAAAAAAAGTCAAAAATCTTTTCTAATTTTTCAAATAAAATTCCCGTTCAAAAAACATATTATATAAAAAATCATGGCATACAGTTGTACTACAAAAAACCACAAAACATCGACTTTTTGGTTTTGCTGAGGGTCCATTCTTTTATGATGGGATAAAAAAAAACAAAAATTTTACATGTAAATTTTCCCAGGAATTTAAGGAAAATACTGATTTTCTTGGATTTTTGATAATTTTTCCCAATATTTTTAGAAACATAGAAACGTACCGGAATAAAATGTCCTCGGGGGTAATAAACTTCCCCAACAGCAAAAATAATCTGGCACGTTTTAGTTTTTCTAAAAATATTGGAAAAAGATATAAAAAATCCACGCAAAGTTTTGTTCCTGAAAAAATTTAAATGTAAAATTTCTATTCCTATCTCATCATGAACATAAGTTGGATTCCAAAAAACCCGAAAGATCGATTTTTAAGGTTTTTCGAGTATAACTCGTTGCCATAACGACTTCAAAAAAATGTGTTCTAAAGGTTTTTTTCCCTTTATTTACAAGGTTTTCAGCCATCGGCTGGTTTGCCTTGGATGTTTTACAGGAGAGTTTTCTTGAGAAAAGGAAAAAAATGATTTTTATAGATTTTTGATATCTTTTTCCAATATTTTTAGAAAAATCAAAACGGTAATGGTAAGTTGTGGATTTGAAAAAAGCAATCCCGGATCCAGTTCGCTCTCCACTCTACAGACTACAAAAATCCTCATGATTTTTGGTTTTTGTTGAAGGACTGAGATTTTTAAAATATTTTGTTCTTTAAATCCAAATTGTAACATTGATTTGTTTTCTCTTCCATGAAACTCTAATGACTCTAAAACTTTCCCAAGGATCTGACATATTGAAATATTTTCAAAGTTCTTATAATTAGCTTGTTTGTTGTCTGGCACTTCAAAGGTTAACAGTGTTGGCTAGAATTCGAAAGAAATGTTTAGCTCTAGAGATAATTTCAATAGGTTCTTAATAAATATTAGGGAATTTTAAGGAGTTCTGAGGAATTTTTCAGGAGTGTTCTGAGGAAAGTTTCAAGAAAATTATTAGCAAACTTTAGTAGAAGGTCGGAGGTGAATTTCAAAAGGTTTCTGAAAAATGCTTATGGGTTAATCTGAAGAAATTACCAAAGGAACTGTAATGAATATAACAAGAGTATTTTATACATAGAATAAACTAAAGTGCGAGGTTTCATGAGAATATCAGCAATACTGTAGATTAAATTTCAAAAAATTCAGTGGATGGTGAAAGTTTGAAAAATATTCCAATTAAAATCCAAATTGTTTCTAGTGTGTCAGAAATTTGACATATATTTTTTAAATCATCACAATTGGGTGAAAAACAAAATAAAATTGTCGATTTTTGCGGCTTTTGCGAAACTGTTATCCCCTGCGCTTTGGTCAGAGAGCGTATAGGGTGTCGTTGTGCCAATTTGGTCATGGCACATTTCAAGTATGAGAGAGTGATTGAAGAAATACACACACATTATTGAAAAACTGTTATCGAATAAAATGGTAGATCTCTACCAAGACTAAGTTTTCAAACATAATTTTGTAAGTTGTTAAAGGTAAATAGATGAGATGAGATGAGAAATTGGGATTGTCTTCGACAAAATAAGAAATCTTTAAGTATTGAACGTTCACCAAATTGTAGAATATTAAAATCCTTTTCATGAAAAAAAAACACTAAAGATTTTTTGATCATTTTGCTTTGCTCAGTTGTCGGAGTCACAAAATATTGTAAAATTTTCTAAATGCTAATCGTTTAGAGTTGATTAAATGGACAACATTAAAAGGACTATTATTGCAACGGCATGATCCTTTCACACTAATAGCGAATTCATTTATTATCGGGTTTGGAACCAGTTCCAATCCAGTGCGAAACCGAACTTTTTGTCAGTGCGAACCTCAACCTGAGCTGGGTTTAAAAAACAAACGAGCAAACTGACGTTTGTCAGAAAACAAGCAGACCCAATTTTGATACCCGATCCAGGCTGGAACTGAATAATAAACGAATTCGCTATAAGAAATACTTAATCTTATACGTGACGGAATCCATATTTGACATAAAGGATGAGACGTAAACAAGCATGTAATGTAAAATTAAGTGTTCCGAGACTGAACAGCTTGAAGGTACGTTTGATTGAGCTGAATTTCGCGTCTATTTGGACTGAATTTTATGTCAAAATTGACGCTCGTATATGTCAGTCTCAGAGCACCTAAATTTACATAATTTTTAGTTTAAAAAAAAATACGTTCGAAATGCTCAACATTTACCGAGGCATGACAAATTTAAAATTATATTAGACTCTGAATTTTAAAAATCTGTCACTGTCTGGTGAAAATAAAATTGAAATATCGAGCAAAACATGAGTTCGTAATCTTAAAAAAAAAAAATTCTTTGGATCTTAATACCCCGATCACAATACAGCGTATATCACGTGATATACGCTGTCTTGCAATGAGCACTCATACATCTAGTTTTCATTGGAAATCCTATGTATGAGTGCTCATTTCAAGACAGCCTATATTACGTGATATAGGCTGTAATGTGAACGGGGTATAATTTCTGACAAGCTTTATACCCCGGACAGACTATGGCTTATATCATGTAATATAGGCTGTCTTGCAATGAGCACTCATACATAGGATTTCCAGTGAAAACTAGATGTATGAGTGCTCATTGCAAGACAGTCTATATATATATATATATATATATATATATTTTTTTTTTTTTTTTTTTTATTATAGTCACTTTAACACTCTTGGGTCATTTGTGACTTGTCCGGGGGTGAGATTTGAACTCGTGACTTTGGCGTGAGAGGTATGGATGTTAACCACTATGCCGGGATCGCCCCAGTCTATATTACATGATATAAGCCATAGTCTGTACGGGGTATTAGACTCTTTAAACAATTCGTAAAACCAATTTATCGCTTTTTCACCCTGGTTAATTATTAATTCTGATTTCCTAATGTTATTGAACATGATTCCCGTCATCTTTATCAATAATTTGAATGAGATAAGTTGAAACTTGTTACTAGAAAAATTCTTAGGAGAATTAAAAAAGAAATATGTTGTTAGGGGTTTCTAGTGAAATTAAAAAGATTCGGAAGTGGAAAATCAGAGGATTGTAAGACTAGAAAAAACTTGAAGTTTTAAGACAATCCCTAGAGTTTTGACAGGTTCTGGCCCAGACAACCAGAATGCACGTATATTCAAAGTTGTTTTTGTGATATACAAACATATGTACAAACAAACAAGTCGTATATAATGCAAAGAAATGGCTTATACGTACAAAAGTGGAGGCCATATACGTGCATATTTTCGTTTAATTTTAAACGAGTTGATTTAACATCATATGCGATTTGATCTGTAATAACAATTCCATTTTGAAAAGTCTTACGATGTAATCCGATTAAATTTGTGATACAGTACGTCGGAAAAATGAGTCATCGCATATAAGTCGGAAATTTGCATTCTATACGATTTAACTTAAACATAATGCGAGGTATGCCATTCTAATATGCGATTTTGACTTAAACTGTAGCAATTTACGATACTGTCTGTACATTGTTATACGACTTCTGGTTGTCTGGGGGCACCCTGGATACATTATTTATAAACATATTGTATTTTTATACAAATTTATAAAATACCGACGACATATGCCGAAGTATGACTAGTAATCCATACGGTAAACCCTCCCCCTAATTCGAAACCTGCCTACCTAAATTCATGAGTTTGCGTGGACGTTTTTCTAGATGGCCTTAAGGGGTCATGTTTTTAGCCTTTAGACTTCTCTGACGTTTTTGAATTGCACAAATATTAGTGCAGAACTTTGGATAAATTCAAATGTTTTCTTGCACTGATACTTGTGCATTTCACGAACGTCAGAGAAGTCTATAGGCTAAAAACATGACCCCTTAAGGCCATCTAGAAAAACGTCCACGCAAACTCATGAATTTAGGTAGGCAGATTCTGTATTTTATAGATTTTATTGTAGTTTAGTCTATATTGTTGACTGCTCTCTGTGTTTTGATTCTATGATGGCAGGGTAAGCAAGGAAAAACAGGATTGAATAAAGCGTCATTGTAAACATCGGACAGGCGTTCTAGTGAGCAAGCTTCGTGATTAAAATGAGATAGGATGATTAACTTTTAAGCAAAACCTGCGGGACTTGAACTTTATTTATTAGAATTCTATTAGCATTGCACCACAGACAAACAGACATAACACATTGAATTTTTTTTCACTAAAAACATCGTCGCTAAAACACTATTGCCATCGCCATCGGTTGAGTATACTGTGATAGGCAGTACGCTGAACAGGCGGTACTACCAACTAAAAAAAAACATTTAAAATGACCGTTGACGAAATTACTAGCTCCGAAACGAAGCATTTTCGTGACTTTGTGTCTCGAGCAAAGTTGCTTATTATAATGAAGAAGGAGCACCGATTGACATTAAAACTCACCCGCATTCATGGCGTCAAAATCTAACATTTTACTCTGACATTCTGGATACTCAGGTCAGCAAACACAATAATTTACCATTTTGAATTTAATATAGTGCTTCCTTTCACGATAGAATATCATATCGGCATAGTAGCGGTTGTAGCACATTAAAAGTTGGATCTAATTGTTGGATCAGCAAAAAAATCGGAACTCAATGTTTAAAACTATTTGTTGTCGCGCACAGTCTTTAGAGTATCTTGCAAAATTGCGAAACTTAAGTATTTAAAAATAAATTTCCATAACATAATACTCAATGACTGTCCACTTACCTCATTCTGTACACTAGAATTTTCCAATCCGAGCACTAATCCAAGTGTTAGACCAACTATCGCTACCACGATAACGGCCCCCAAACCTAACTTACTTATCCTGGTTAGGCTCATTTTCAGTACAACAAGACTGCTACTACAAGACTGAACAGTTCGAAGAATTGCCAACGTGTACGCCTAATCTTTCCTATGTTATCATTGAGTATTTAATTACCTATATATTGTAGGATAATCTTCACAAGATTATTGTAATATAGGACACACGTTTGTCTATCATTATCATAGATAAACTCACACTACTGATTATTAACTGGAGAATATAAAATACAGTACTTTCCCGTTTTTGTCAATCCCATCTGAAATTTTAGGCTGACAAAAACGGGAAGCTGATAGAATCGGGATTTTTTTTTTCAATATTTTAATCATCAAAATCAAGTTTAACCAGAGAGAGAGGGATTAGTATTTTCCATTTAATTCCACTACTTTATTTGCTTATCCTTGACAGATACGCGTATTTCGTCTACAATGTGCAGACTTCTTCAGTGTCTTGTACTAATACTACGTACGAAATACGCGTATCTGTCAAGGATAAGCAAATAAAGTAGTGGAATTAAATGGAAAATACTAATCCCTCTCTCTCTCTCATTATACAGGTATTCCACTAAGACGCCCATATTCATCAGGTTTCAAGTTTAACCGTTATTTATCCACTATTAATGGAATTACTGATAAATGTTTACTATTCTTACAACAAAGGGTACACCAAATGTTGTTGAAATGAAAAGTTTGCGTACGGTTTATTGAGCCGGTACGTACTGTTCGGTTTCCATAAATTTCGTTTGATTTTCAGCGCTGCAACCAAGGCTGAACCTCCATATCTCAGTATCAACGTAAATACACTAGCCAGGAGCCGTCCCGAGATGTTCGGTATGATTCTGGCTACCGCGTTGATGGCTGCCTTCTCGTAAGCGTATTGTACGTGGCTATTGAAGCCAAACGGTCGTTGACCATGACTCCCAGGCATTTCAACACGCACTTCTAGTTTATTGCGTGATCCCCAACGGTAATTTCTGACCGCTACAGCGCTTTAAAGTTACTGATCAATACCACCTCGCTTTTGTTGTAGGCTTTCTGCAGCTTCACTCCAGGCATTAGGTTTCCAATCATGTCGACCGAGATGGTCGCCAACATTTCCATCTATTCCAGTGTCTTGCCTGTTATCGTAAGACGAAATCGTCCGTAAAGCCAACGATCTCAACTCGTTTGGGTAGCTTTAGCGTTACACCGCCGTTTTGAATCACGTTCCAGAGCGTTGGTCCAACCGTGATCCTAATCGATCTCTGCCCATATTTGGCTCTTAGATCCGAACCCGGTTCTGACAATAGAGTCGGCCTCCCAGCTGGAGCTGTTGAGTGCATTCTTGACGTCGATCGTTATCACAGCGCAATATCGATCTCCACTTCTGTTTCGACGCCTTCTCGGCTCTCCGACAAACCTTGCTCACTCTCCGTGCATTTCGTCAGCCTGTTTAGGATGATCTTCTGGGGCTGTTCATTAACTACGTAGACAGTTTTTTTTAGATTCTTGATCTCCCCTCCCCCTGCGTAGACAATTGTCCATAATTTTTTTTTATTTGTATGGGCCGTGGATGATTGCCAATCCCCCCCCCCCCCCTAAACTGTCTACGTAGTTTATGAAATGCCCCTCTCCAATAGTTTTCCTGATACGAGTTGCTCGTTGCCCAGACAACCAGAATGCACGTATATTCAAAGTTGTTTTCGTGATATACAAACATATAAACAAACAAACAATTCGTATATAATGCAAAGAAATGGCTTATACGTATTAAAGTGGAGGCCATATACGTGCATATTTTAATTTAATTTTAAATGAGTTGATTTAACATCATTTACGATTTAATCTGTAATAACAAATTCATTTTGAAAAGTCTTACGATGTAATCCGATTTAATTTGTGATACAGTACGATGGAAAAATGAATCATCGCATATTGGTCGGAAATTTGCATTCTATACGATTTAACTTAAACATAATGCGAGGTATGCCATTCTTATATGCGATTTTGACTAAAACTGTAGCAATTTACGATACTGTCTGTACATTATTATACGACTTCTGGTTGTCTGGGTGGTGACTTCGTCGTTATCTCCCTCTCCGTCTCCGTACGATGTAGGTGGCCAGTTCGTTGGGTCGTGCTTCGAGAAAAGTCCTTCCACGATGACTTTTATGTTCTCTAAGCACATTTCAGCGGGCATGACTTGACATCTGATCTTCGTCATCACGACATGCTGTGCGTCGTTGGCAGCAGCATCTATATCCAGCTCCAGTTGACAGTTTGACTTGCTCTGCTTTATCTCTCGTTCATGTGCTCGGAACATTCCTCTACGTTCCTCTCTGTCTGCTTCTGTTCTTGCTCTCTGAAGAGGACGTCTCTGGCTTGAGACAACTAGCGCCGAGGGTGTCAATTGCCTCGTTGCAGCAGTAAGCAGGAGGCCATCTGTTATTTAGCTCCAGTTTCCTCGGCATGGTCTTTTCACATGCTCTCCCTAAAGATTCTGTCAACTCGTCTTCCACTTTAGGTCGCAAGTTCTCGTCCTCTGTACTACCACAGGATTCCGTTGGCCGATGCCATATCGGATTGCCTGATGGTCACTATGGGTATATCCTTCACACACTCTCCAATTCATGTTTTCCACCAGCGATGGACTGCAGTCTACATAAAGTGACGTCGATAATGGATTCCCGGCCAACCCTTAGCGAAAAGTGCTGGTAATGCCTTTACTGAACAGCCTGATTTTCAGCTTCGCCAGAGCTTCCAGCAGAATGTGCCCTAAGCATTAAAGTCTCCTCGGATGACTACCGCTCTTCGTCAGATCAGCTCTTCGGTAAGTCCAACCAGCGTCCCGTGGAACTGCTCCATCGTCCATCGGGTGCGTAGCAACTGCATATAAATATTCCGTTAATTTTGGCGGTCACAACACCTTCTTCTTGAATGGGGTATCTGCCCATAACTTGTATTGTAGTCATCCCAGCTCTATCCGCCACCTAGTTACCTTTATCGGGAGGGACTCGATACAGCTGTGCAGTGTCGCAATAATTGAGGTTTATTTAAGTTACCTCTGTTATTGTTGCCACAAAACAATTAAGTGCCATTTAGTGTGAAATGCTTGAGAATTCATGCTTAAAAACCAAAAGTTCAGCAAAATCTTCATGCTGACCAAATCGGGAAAAAAAGTTAAAAAATCAGGGGTAGACAAAATCAGGAGCTGACAAAATCGGGAAAGCACTGTAACTCAAAAGTGCTCGCCAATTTTTGATTTACGAGCATTCAGCACATTGCCAGTTAGTTGTCTATTTAAAATGAAATGATTATTCCTATTAGTCATTATTCCTTCATGTCTAATAATTTTTATGCATACAACATCTGTTTTGTACTGCTCTTCTATGTATTTACATATCAATTGTTCCATTATTGACACAATTCAAGCTTTAATCAATAAATGCACTTCAATGTAAATTAATATTTGCAAAAATTTCAATGAATGGAAATTAATATTTATAATAATTTCGATTAAACAATTTATTTTTCGGAATTATGAAATATTTGGATTTTACTATGTCATGTTTTAATTTTACGTTTAACCAACTACTTACCTCTTGCGTTTGACGTTTACACACTACCGCCATCTGTTCAGCGTATTGCCCATTACTCAACAGATGGCGGTAATGTTCTAGCGAAGATGTTTTATGTAGAAAAATATTCTATGTGTTACGTCTGTTTGTCTGTGAATGCAATCATGAAGCATCACCATAAACGTGGCTTATATACTTATCAGAGGCTAGCAAACATCTTTGAGGAAATGAAAAAGGATGGAGCTGATCGTGCTAACTGTGCTTAAATCAATAAAAAAAATCAATTGAGCGTCGGCGTTGACAACAACTCAAAGACAGCAGATAATTAAAATGATCGAGCTCCCCTATCGACTGAAGACAGTTCGAGACAGGAAGCAAGCTCCATATTTGACCAAATGTTATTGTCCGGGAACTACGTGCATGCATGTGGAACTTTATGCAAAATAACTGATTAGATTTTGATTAAGCACTCGCTTTCGTTTTGAAATATTGGTCGATTTAAATGGTTGATCGATGTTGGGTCTCTATTCACCGCTCATATGTAATTTTAAAGTATGTTTTACCGACAATAATTAGTGAAATAATAATGCAGGCATCTTGAACGAATAAATTATTCGGTTAAGGTGATTCCTTGAAGGGTCCAAAAATGACCGTCATGATTGCTGTTATGCTCTATCTTTACAAGTTTTCTAGAGCACACATCTCGGACACTGTTGTGACGTCACTAATGAAATTGGAACTCCCTGTTTGCTATACTGCAGCAAACGAGGAGTTCTAGTTTTATTGTTGTACTGTTGTTGTGGAAGTTGATACTTGTACTCTTGAAATTTCGAGGTGGTGGTAAACGCATGTTTAGAACTCATTTTGAGAACTTTTTTGACAAATTTTGAAAATATGAGCGGTGAATGAAGTCAAGCGGTGAACGACATCACCACATGGTAGTTTGAGCAGTGAATGGCGAACGTTACGTTAATATCTTGTCTGTGAAAGTGATAATCTGAATTAAATGATTCAGTTTGTCAAAATATCGTCCTTATTATTATGTTATGATCAATTTGGATCATTTTCAGGGCAGATAGCAGTGTTAAACAATAAAAATAGTGAATTAGTGATTAAAATAAACTATATAAGTAACCAGAAAGTAACTGAAAAGTGACCAAAATGTGACTAAAAATTATTATAAATGTTTCGGAGATAAAATCGTGTAAACTGATTTGGCTTAAGCAGGGGGTGTGACTATATAGGGTCATCCATTGCGTTGACGTAAATTTGACGTTTAGACTAGTCCTGTGCATCGCCGGGCCACGCCGCCTCCGCCGTGATGATTTTCGATAAGCCGCCGTTATAATTTTGGAACCGCCGTCAATGTAATATTTTTTATACATACTTTTAAATTTCGAAAGACGCGTTTCTCGCCAATCATTGCACACTTATTTTTAAGGTTCCTGTTTTTGTCAAGGCGCATGGTAGGTATGTGTTAATATTTGTTGA